TATGTCCTCGATAATTAGGGCTGACGAATGCCTGCATTGCATGCGCCACATTGTGCCCAACATCAACACATCGCTTGGTCGCCACTTGTCTAGCCCCGAAGAAGCCCTGGTGTACACACTGGCACGCTCTGACAGCCACGAAACGTTTGAGCGCAACTTGGAAAAACTAACAATGATGAACTCAGGTATGCAACGACATATTTACCTATGATATTATATCCTCTATCCATAGTTGTTGCTGTATACCTCTCGCACATCCCTCTGAAGAATTGGGTGACCTATGCATTCCCTAGACCAACGTTTGGCAACGTCACATCCAACATGAGCGAATCGGCAAACCAATGGTTGGGAACGGAGCTATGTAGCTCAGATGCTGTGATGCTCCACTTTCGATACGTACATGCACCACTTACTGAAAAACATCAACGAACGGAGGTATTGTACAATGTCTGAATATACCTATAATATTTAGATGCATCTAGATATCTAGCGTATCTAGGTAAACTAGACATCTAGATACATCTAAGCGTATCTAGATCTTCTAGAGTATACTAGTATCTTCTATATATTTTAGTACTACAACTAACAGTTGTGTAGATCAGAAAGTGCAAGCTGGCCTGACGACTCAATGACACCTGTTCACCACAAGTTGTACCAGACGTTGTTAACAAAGTCGAGAAATATATCGGTATTAACTATTCACATCTATCTAGATTGATACATGTGCAGATTGATGTTTGCGAGCCGGGGAGAACGTTTTTGGCGTTGTCCTTCGATCCAACTTCGACAACTACCCACGTTTGGCGCTTAGTTGACCTGGAAGCAAAAACATGTCAGTGCCGCACTTGGTTTGACACAAGGAAACCTTGTATCCATGCCATCAGATGCTACAACGCTATTCATCAGGATCCAATGCTATTCTTTGACGACGTGTACTCAACGAAGCGCTTCAAGCTGCTCTACGCGGCCCATGTCGTACCAGTTCCGCCACAAGACCTTGACAGAGATCCTTTATCAAGAGCACCTGCTGTTTGTCGACTCGACTTGAACCCTTCGAAGCCAGGTCCGAAAACGAGACGGCGAAAACGATCGAATGGGATGCGTAGCATAATGGTCGACGTTATATATTTTCTATATATATGTTGTTATTACATACACATAAATCTAGATTATATATAATATCTATTACATACAGTATTTCTAGATAATCTAGAGCATCTTGTACATTCAGTCTTTCTAGATAATCTAGAGCTTCTTTTACATTCACTATATCTAGATAATCTAGATAATTTACATTCTCTTGTTCTAATCCTAGTTGAATACTGCATATGAATTAAGTATGGTAACACGCCAGGCCCTGACAACTCAGAATTGGGAAATTAAATCCAAAGAAACTTTCATTTGATTAAAGTATCTAAACGCGCCGAGCCCTGGCAATTCAAATGTGTGAAATTAACACAACAGGGAAAGCGCTTCTACGTCAATTGCTTCGCCATTCTTCCCAGGCGACGTCCACGCTTCGCCGCCGCCACCGCTTCCTTAACCGCTTCAGCCCCCGCAACATCAGACAAAATCGCTGCACCAGAAGTCGCCGGTGAGCCCGTCCCGGATGGCGCCAATTCTTCCGTCGACATGTCATCGGGCACATTCGAGTCGAATTCCACAGCGGAGACTTGATCTTCGTGCTGTGTTTCGGCTGAAAAACGTCGTCGCAGCTCGCCCAGAATGGCGACGGGGTCCCCACCCAAGTGACGGACAATATATATTTGCAATCTTACCGAGGCAATAGCGAGTGCGTCTTCCTCGTACAAACGCATGGTGAGCGCTTCGTCATCGACGTCATTCGCTTCATCGTCTGCATATAGGGGCTGGACGGCGTTGAGACGAGTTGACTGTACAGGAACTTGGAGCTCCCCCGCGGCGTTCACGATGCAGACCCACAGTTGACGAATGTTGCGATGTTCCGGGATGTGGCGATGCTTGGCCTTCACGTGGTTTGGGAAGTTTGAGTACCACGTGATGAACCCACATCCCGGTACCATGAACTTGATCTTGTCCTTCGAGGTCATTGCAAAGTGATAATTGAATGGTTTGGGCCGCGCTGGAAAGTTGTACTACTCTACTGATCTATGCAAGGAGTATGTGCATCCGGTCGATTATCCGTTATTTCTAATTTCCCCCAGAACAGGTATGTTTCGGCTCCCCAGCAGGGGTGGTACCCCTGCTGTGGGGGAATTGGTCTTCTATTTCGTGGTTAACTCATTCACTGTCAGTTCACAAAGCCTCCAATAGATTTCGTGGAACGACCATTGTAATTCGCATTTAGAGTCTACCAGTTTACAGTCTCTCTGCAGTGTTATTGTCTTATTGAAGTTGAAGTGCCCAAAGCTGACTTTTGCGCATTACAAATTCGCTTCCATGAACACCCTGTTTTCATAGAGAACATCCCCACTGCCCTGTCAGTCAGGTAGAAGCGTCTGCTAGCTGTGTAGGAAGTTTTTGTGCCTTTTAGAGGCTTTTCCTCAGGTAGAAGTCAGCGCAGACATTTAGCAGACATTTAGTCACGGAACATCATTGGATGTCGTGGCCAATCATAGTCAGTTTTGATTGGCTGTTTCTTTTCAGTCAGAAGTAATTCACTTCAAGTATTTCCTTCTGCCTCCCACGTGTCTGCTCCACCAGCCTACTATCCTCTCCACTGGTTATGAGCCTTCCACCTGCTACCTCTCGCGCTACCCTACAGTTCCGAGAACGTCGACGAGTGGTTCTTTGAACTCACTTCCGTCATCCTTGCCGATGAGGACCTCACAGAGATGGCGACTCACTGCGCGCAAGTTGAGACGACCACGTCCATGAAGGGACTCCGGCGAGCCTACAAGGTGCTACTCAATGATTACAAAATCATCCGGCTACACCAAGCCGAAGCGGCAGCACTGCCTGCCGGCGCACCGCCGCTCGCACCACTCACGCTCGACGCCCACCCATCACTGGGTCCGGAGCTCACCGAATTGCTCGCGGACAACCGCTCGACGGAAGAGGAGACTGCGAAGTCCATCCGCATCGGCGTCGATGAATTGATCCACTTGGAGAAGATGTCCATCGCGCGCTCATGTGCGCTGGTCTACGCCTCCTTGTCACTCACGGTCCATCGTGATGCCTCTTCGGGATTCGCGATGAATGTGTGCATTGCATCATTTCGTCGCTTCCGCGGAATTTTGCCAGCGACGAACAAAAACATGCAACTGCCATCTCCGTTTATCAACGTTTACACACGTTCAAGCTTAAGCCTCACGTGTCGTTTGACGTCAACCTCCAAGCCTTCGACAAGATACGAACGGCATGGAGAAGCTAGAAGGGCGACCCCTCAGCGATAGCCACTTAGCCTCGGCCCTCCTAGCGGCACTACCAGAGTGCATCGCTCCAAACCTGTTTGTATGGCGGGGCGCTCAGTCGAACATCCCTTATAAGAACATTCGCCAGTTGCGTGAGAAACACTGGCAAGGCTTGGTCACCAAGTACCCGCACTACCTCAGCCCAGCGCCGATCGCAGCGGCTGCACCGGTGCATGGCTCGGCAACCGCGACCGCGACAACGGTTCTAGCGCATTGGCACTTCCGGCCTTTCGCGATGGCGCAAGCCAGCGAGACGGCTACGGACAAGCGGCCGCCACACCCTGGGGCACCCAAGGCCAAGACCCCATGGCGGATTGGTGTGGTTACTGCCTGTCCTCAGGCAGACACACGACGTACACCTGCACGAAGCTCTCCCGTGCGTTCCACCAGAACGCGGTGCGTCAGGATTTTGTGTTTCCGCCAGGATGGGCTGCCATCCCACCTCGTGAATTACCCCCAAGTGGTGGTGGTTGACGCATGCAAGGCGAACCAAGCATAGCGGTGGCAAACGCCACCGCAAAGGCGGCGGGCGTGGTGGAGGAACCGATACATCCTTCCTCAACACCTTTGGCCAAGGCTACGCATCCAGCGGTCAACCCGGTTACCAGCATGGGACAAGGCGGCCATGCCAGCTTGGACTACGGCGTTTATCGCGACGATCACGTGGCTATAGCCCGTTTCGTCAGTCAGCCTCCCGCTATCGCAGTTCGCTCAGGTGACAGGTACCGCGACAACAGCGAAGACCGCGTCTATTGCCGCAACGACCGCGGGCCTTTTCCTGACGACAGCGGCGCCAACCAAAACGACCAGCGCCACCGCAGCCGCAGGGCGCCGCGGCTACGCCCAACAGGCATCCACCCCCCAGCGCATCCAAAGCCGCAGTGCGTCGCGCGGCACTGCCCCTACGTTAGTGTCGCAGAACACACGTCAACAACGTGACCAGACTCCTTATTTATGTCTTCACGCACACATGCCGGCATTTATGCCTCGACATCTTTTAGATGAACAACATTCACATGTATCATTTACGGGACTACAACAGTCGACCGACAAGTCAAGTACATCCAAAGTACTTTCGACATTATTACAGGACCTCAATTCCTTATTACGACTTGTTCCATACTACTGTATCGCGATTACTTGTATTTACGGGTACTGGATGGGCACTCCGCGTTTCACCAACCAGCCCGGTTGTCAAAGAGCAAATTCGATCCCGTAACTGGACGGTAGATAGTGGTGCATCCAAGCACTTTCCATCATGAGTGATTCATCACCTATGAACAATTCTCATCCTTTGCTGGTGTAGCCGACGGCCACCAACTCCATGTCATCGGCAGTGGCATAGTACGACTCCAGGTCGCTGACACCAACGACGAAACATTACTGATTTATCTGCAGGATGTATATTACATCCCAGATTTGCACTTCAATTTATTTTCCGTGGGTCGTGCACTACATATGGATCGACATAAAATTGTCTCCATCACCCCACAGGAGTGGACTCTAGCCACCTACGACGGCGAGTTCACCGCAACCTACGACGAAGACACCGGGTTGTATAGCATTGCGGTTTTCACCGCACATTGCCGACTCCACATCGACCGTCCTCGTGACGCAGTCGAGTGCACAGGGCACTATGCAATGGCACCATCGAATGGGCCATCCAAGTCATGACAAGCTCCGCACATTGCGGCGTCATTCGACCGTGTTCGAATTTCCCATCTTTCGGCAGGCCATCACGGCCCATGCCTCGTGCGACACATGCTTAAGGTCGAAGTCCAAAGTACTTCCCTTTTCACACAACAAATTACCAAAGTCGTCGAGGCCTCTGGAACGAGTGCACTCCGACGTGTGGGGTCCAATCAATATTCCCTCTATCTCTGGGGGTCGATACTTCGTCAAGTTCATCGACGACTTTACCCGATTCATTTTTGTGTACATCATGCAAAAGCGCGCGGACCTGTACGACAAGTACAGCGCGTTCTGTCGCGACGCACGGCAGCGTTGTCGCTCTGACGTCATCGAGCTTTGCTACCATCACTCACCTCCCAGTCAGTTCGAGGAAATCCAAGCGCTCCAAATGGACAACGCTAAGGAGTACGTCAAACTCGGGGTCCGTATTCAAAGCGAATACGGCACCCGTCTAACGTACAGGAATGCTTGTACCCCGACCCAGAATGCTGTGGCTGAGCGGCGTATGGGCATCATCGTCACCATAGCTCGCTCCATGTTACTGCATCGTAATTTACCACAGTTCTTGTGGGGCGAAGGCATTTCCCACGCAGTGTTCCTCATGAACATCCTGCCGTCCACCACCATCAGTAGGGACACTCCGTATCGTCTATGGCACCAGACTATGCACGTTTACGCGTATTTGGCTGTATAGCGTACGCACACGTCAACATACCCATGCGTGTGAACAAGCTGTCTCCCCGAGGCATGCTGTGCAAGTACAGTACATTGGCTTACCCGAGACATCTCGAGGGTTCAAGCTACTGAACTTCAACACACATTACGTGCTTACGAGCCGCGATGTGACGTTCGTTGAACATCAGTTTCCCCTCCTGAAATCCGTCGAGGACGTGAAACGTCTTCGAAGTGAACATCCACAGCGGAACTGTTTCACCGTGGACCAAAGCCCACCACCCCTCCAACCACGCCTGCCTTGACCCCTTGGGGAGGCTGCGTCGTCCAGGACACCAACAACTCTACCCTCGTTTGGGGAGGCCTTTTCTGGACGACACCTCTACCCTCATTTGGGTAGGCTGGGTCATCAGCCCCGCCCCACTTGGGGAGGCCGATACGACCACACCACTACCCACACTTGGGGAGGCTTTACATCGTGGTCAACAGGTACAGTGTTGCAAGTCCCTGTCGTGAAAGACGTACCAGACATCACTCCACCTGCCCGTTTGGGTGGCATCATTCGCCACCCCTCACAGTCATCCACAACTCCGACGCCCAAGCGTCATCGAACGTTGACTTTCAACACAACGGAGGAATATTTCCCCGTCCCATGTACCTCGTTCCACAAGAAGTACAGACTGCCGTACTCCGATATGTGTGAGTACGACATCCACCTCCACTCCAACGTCGTTACATACGACAACCCAGTTGCTCGCAATTCCGCCTCGGCCCTCACGGTCCCGAGCAGCGGCGTTAGCACATGTCGTACGTCGTCTCATCGACGTCTACCACACTGGACACGGCGGACACGTCCACGCGACGATCCAGCTCAGTTGCTTATGTCGTATATTGAGGACGCCTCAGGCGCTCAATCTCTCTCGACACCGAAACACAACCTCCTCGCCCTCAAGGACACGACTCCTTCAGACGAGCCTACGTACGACCTACAAACATGCGATGAAATCACCAGCCAAAGCGCAATGGCTTGAAGCCATGATGCTCGAGCTGGTAGCCTATGAGGCGAACGGGTCGTTCGAACCAGCCACCTTGCCTCCAGATGCGACACCACTGGGCATGCGTTGGCTGTTGAAAATCAAATACGACGACTCGGCCACAGAGGCTACAGTACGAGACGCATCGCTCGCTACAAAGCGCGACTTGTGATCCAATGACACACCCAAATGAGGTTAAAATATTGCCACATAAGAATTGCAGAGGACCACATAGGAATTGCTGAGGACCACATAGGAATTGCTGAGAGCCACATAAGGATTGCTGAATCGCACATAGGTTTTGCTGAAGGACACATGAGATTTGCTGAGTTAAATATAGACTATGTTACATAGCGAAATCCACTTCGGCAGGCAGTGCGTTATGAGAATTTCTGGACACATGTGACTATGAGCAATGTGATTGGTTATTAAACTCACATTTCAATGTGATCGGCTATTGTAAATGAATTCAGAGCATGTGATTGGCTATTTCTCCCTAAGTTTGGTGATTTCAGGAGTGGGAGTACGTAACTGTAGCTATTAAAATTAGATTGTTCAGTATTGAGTACTCATTGAGCTGTTTGTTCGCTGTTACTCCTCCGGGGGGGGTCAAATAGTCAAGAATTTGCCAACTTCGTTTATACTTGGCGCGCGTGGAACATCATTATGGGCCACTGCCCTTTATGTATGGACAAGTTCAAAAGCATCTAATCTTGACTAAGGTGTGAATTATCTCACCCGACTACTCCAGGTATTAACATGGTGGCTCTGAGTATCATAATTTATCGGCACTCTATACACAATTCTACACAATTCTACTCTAATTCAGCTTATCTAATATAATATCACACCAATGTTCTGTACCCAAAGTATTGTACTTGCGAATAGTATGCTGCACAAATATAAAATATACAAATCGTATTATCGACCAAATTAGCTAACCAGCAAACACGATATATAAGGCAACGTGCAAACGACGGCGACGACCGCGAATCTGATAATGGTGTTGGTCTTCAGCATCTGCACGTCTCGTACGGATTGTCTGTCGCCGTGGCGGAATACTCATCCCTGGATGTCTGATCCCGACTTCGTTGGATACGGCCAGCACATGGCTGCAAATGGCGCCTCGAATCCAAAGCAGACAATCGCACCGCAAGGCAGTTGGGTCTTGGGTTCGAACAACGATCCATCCACTCGCAGGTTGTTCGTGCAATTCAAACAGAGCAAGGTTCCTTGAAAGCGGCGCCCGGCCAGGAGGAAGGGGTAGGTGCATGCCTATGTCATCATCATCGCCCGGGTCCATCACCTGTGATTCGTGGCGGACAAGCCAACGTTCAGGGACTTGACGTGGCACGGCACGAACGGTAAGAGCGCCACGTGATAGCAGTCGGTTGAAGTGGGTCTTCATTCGGATGGATACAGTTGGCTTATTTGCCCATGGTTTTTCGAGTTCGGACTCGAACTTGAGGACTTTCACAATCTCTTGCATAAGGTGTGGGACATGGAGTTTGGTTCGACCAATATACTACAGATGAGGTTATTCAATGTAGTATGATAATTGTCGTACATCTTTCAATTCGCAGTTGAAGTGCTCGGTTGGATTGTTGGTGTACGAGCTGCCAGGTGGACTGTGGTACACTTGCCACTTCCAAAAGCGGACATCGTCAGTTCCACCGTACGCACGGTTGTACGGCAGCCATTGGCTAAAGAAGTAGCGCCGCAACTTCCGGAGGCCCTGGCTCGTCGCCCACTTGTCGTGCACCACCGCCATTAAGTCGCCCAGGTTCACACGACTTGCCGACATATGCAGCAGTTAGATGTTGAATGAGACATCTCGCCATACCTCGTTCGTCAACTCAGTACGCCTTTCATAGCACTGTATACAAGGTGAGCCGTATGTAATGGTATCATGCATACTTGAGTCATAAGCAATTTATATCAGACATACCTTTTTGATGACGTGGTAAAAGCACATGAGATATTCTATCTCTGGCAGCTGCTGGTCCATGGCTGTCGTCATTCCGAGGTACTGAGCCTTATCGGCGTCACCCATGAGCTATTGTGGCTCCCACGCAAAGTCGAGTTGGTCTTGAAACTCTTTCTTCAGTGACTTTAACAGCCAGGCCACGTCGTCATGAGTTCTTTGTGATGTGATGCAAATGCAGAGCACATGGAACGAGCCAGCCATATCAGAGTACCCAAATACGAATACTGGGTACCCTGACTTGTTAGTCGAAAATGTCGTGTCGACATGGCACAAGATCTTGCGGCGGGGGTTATCTTCGCAAGTCGTTTTGTATCGATTCATGACGTCAAGCGTCGTAAACCCTATGTACGAATATGAATGCATAACATTGTTATCGTATACAATATCATTACACGTGTCATTATCTAGACCGCATTGAAATATCGTACCGACACGAAACGACTGAAGGCCACCATTACCTACGCGGGGCTTGCCATCAACTTTTTCCACGCCGAATACGAATGGGTGATGGATTTCTTGATCTTCTTGTGCGGTTGGCAGAACCCAATGTTGCAACGCTTCTTCAACAGCCGGCACAGTACTTTTGTGGTGCAACTCCTTGGTTCGCACGTAGTTGATGGATTGTTGCACTTGCCGGAGAGTAGGACACGCTGTATCACCATAATTGCCCGACTGATAGTGTACGCGCAGCATCTTGAACAGGGTCTTCGCCGATCCATGACCGCAAGTCGTGTAACATGTCTTCGGTCACTTATTGACGCCAATATCAGAATCATTGTTATGAAATGTTACCACCCAAGTTCGTACATGGGGCTTGACCGGGGATGCTATTCCATCCTCACCCATCCTGTGGTATCCACACATACTGACAACAGTAGTATTGGACAACAGTAGTATTGGACACAAGACAAGTTTGGATCTTGTACGCAGCCTCACACCGCGGTATGCCTTCCACGTTGGTGTGACATCTTTGGCTGGTGCACCTAGTGTACTGTGATTTCATTTGATTAGGGTGGGCAAGGCGCGTGTCGTGCTCGACAACATGAACCAATGTACATGCTTCGCTGTTAGAATGTGATACAGCAAAGCGAGGTAGTGTAAGTCGGGACGAGGAAACTCGGCACTTGGTAGCGTGTGAACGTGGCGAAACGCGGTCATGGGTGTAATGATGATATACGTCGATGAAGCGAAAGCGCGTCTCGGCTTTGAAGAAGAAAGTCAAACTGCGAGCCACTAAGTACAAAGAAACCAAAAGTAATTGATTCTCCATAACATATAATGTAGCTTGCTTGCTTCCGGCATACATATCCACCGCACACAAACTACACTACAGAACTGCATCTTGCCAGCGCAACGACCCATTGTGCTGCCTCGGATTCGCACTGCAACATGAGTTATGGACATGGACGTTCTGGCCCCATTCATTTCGAGCACTTCCAGGGCACGCATACACTACATTAAAGAACTACCTCTGGCCAGTTGAACGCGCCTTTGTACTGCCACAGATTCACTCTACAGCCTGAGTTCCTCAGAACGATGCTGAACGCCAGTCCATGGTGGACAAGCTGTACCGATCGGTAGTCGGCAGCATCATGTATCTCATGATTAGCTCTCGACCCGACCTCGCGAACGTCGTCCAACAACTGAGCCAGTTCCTCACGAACCCCAGCCCTGCCCACTGGCAGTCAGCCAAGCGCGCCTTCCAGTGCACAGAGGAACGATCGACTACGGTCTCGTCCTCGGCGGTGCGTACGATCACCCCGCTCCGCTTCATGCGTATGCAGACAGTGACTACGCTAACTGTGTTGATACCCGACGCTGCGTCGCGGGCTTCGTGATATTTTACCGGAACTCTGCGATCTCTTGGATCGCTAAGAGGCTGCGCAGCATCGTCCTCTCGACAACCGAGGGAGAACTCATAATTCTGTGCACACTCGCACAATAATGCCTGTAAATCACCAGGCAGTTGGTGAGATCGGATATCCCATCACCACATCGATTCCTCATCACGAGGACAATCAGAGCACTCTCCAGATCGTGAACAACTCTGGCCACCATGGACGTACCAAACTTATTGATGTACGCTACCATTTCATCAACAACCTTGTGGAACAACAGACGTTTAGTCTTGTTTACACCGATACGCGACATCAAGTCGCGGATATCTCTACCAAACCACTTGATGTGACAACGTTCTGCACTTTCCGCAGTCAACTAAGGGTGAGACAGCTGCCGCCCGACAGCACCCTTCGGCGCGAGCCAGGGAGCACGAACTCCGGCCTCCTAGCTCGTGACTGCGCCGACATCTAAGGGGGACGACCTAGACCATGTTGGTTCGACATCGGAGGTGGGGGTGACGGCATCCCGGTGGTTACTCGATCCAACTGGCCCTTCCACGGCGCGTCGTTCGGAAAGGGCTAATTAGTAGGGCCCACTAAAAGGGATGTCCGATGAGTTGAGTCGCGGCCAAAAGATGGTGTGACCAGTGGTGGTTACGCTCACTGAGCTTAACCGCTAGCCTCTTGCTGCAATCTGTGCACCTGATTCCGGTTGACAGTGCGTGGCGCTGTTGGGAGGAAGTGTTCTGATAGAGAACATCCCCACTGCCCTGTCAGTCACGTAGCAGCGTCTGCTAGCTGTGTAGGAGGTTTTTGTGCCTTTTAGAGGCTTTTCCTCAGGTAGGAGTCAGCGCAAACATTGAGTCATGGACCATCATTGGATGTCGTGGCCATCATAGTCAGTTTTGATTAGCTGTTTCTTTTCAGTCAGAGCATCCCTACCGGCTGATGTAAACATAGAGCTGAAAAGACCCGTTTATTGGGTGCGTGCTGTAACCGTAGTACATCACTTCACAGCCAATCCACACCGGTTGGCGGAAATAGTAGTCCTGATGGAGCAAATTCGCGTTGGACGCCCGCTGGCGATTGAGATTTTGAAGCTCTCGCCAGTGGAGAATTTAGTGCAGCAGGGTTGGCATACATACTATTGTCTGTAAGATTTATATTCATGCTGCCGGCTGCTTCAGGACGTCGGGGTGGCATGCTTCGTTGAAGAAGTCCATTGGGACCTCAATCGCATAGAACTGTAAACGACCCAACAGATCTGTTGAGAAATCTGTGTTTATGAAGCGTTTACACCATGATGTAAAATTTATTGGCAACCGGTGTGGGTCTGAAAAATGTAAATTTTGCTGATGTAGTGATGTACTTTGAAGATTTTTACATTTCTACATCAGCCGGTGGGGATGCTCTCAGAAGTAATTCACTTCCAGTATTTCCTTCTGCCTCCCACGTGTCTGCTCCTGCCTACTGCCCTCTTCACTCATGTAACAAACAAGGTTACACTTCGAAAAACAAATAAATAAAACAAACTGAGGATGTAGCAACGACGTTTGTACCTCAAACCTCAATCACCGCAAACACTTGTACGCAAACTCTCAACGTATTCAGTACCTAATCAGTTCATCTTAAACGAATATCAGCCTCATTGGCGATGTAGGAGTTAATGTTAGCCGATTGTGTGAACTGGCGAAGCGGTCTTAATTGATGCCTCCAATGCTCAACGACAGACACCCTGATTACGTTGTGTTTCATGCGAATTATAATTGTCGTTGCACGAAATATATTGGCCGTTTTGCGAAGTCAATATTAAGTGAACCACGAAATATATTGAGCGAAATCAACACTCCTACGGAATTAAATGGAACACTGCGAACTTAAATGGGATTCTACCAGATATTTTTTTGAATTAACCTCAAAGTGGTGTATTAATATAATACTACCGGTAGTACGGTCTTATAAGGGGCTGGTCACGGAATATTACTAGTATTAATATAATAGTACTGTACTCCAGTAATACGTAGTACTATTAATACGTGGTACTACGTAGTACTTAAACTACTTGGTAACGATACCATTAATAGAGTACGTACATACTACGTAGTACTACTACGTATTAATACACTGTAGTACAACTAACTGTAATTAGTAGTGGATCGCGAAACATCCGGATAATTAACCGGAAATAAGTAGGGGGGCTCCTCGGCCTGGTTCGCTTCGCTCCGGTTCGCTTCGCTCCCGGCCTCCGGTGCTCCCAGACATTAGATAGATCATTGTTGTTATACTGAGTCGCTCTGATATGCAGGTTTGTTGCATTGTACTCCATTTTATTAATTCATGTACAACCGCAGGGATAATTACATTCAATGGTGTTTATTCCAGGTTCTTCGCCGAACTGCACTTTACACTGTACAGATTACTCACTGACGGGGTAATTCTCTTGAGTCCTTGAACTTGTAGTATGGGCCTACAAATCACTATAAGTACGATTCTACCTAGGTCCGAAACGTCACATTCATCCCTCGTTTATCCACATCAAGTTTTAAAGTTGCGAGCGATCCATTGCGCGCCCCACGGCGTAGCAGAGGTCGTGTGTATACCTTTGTGGTGCCTTGGCGAGGAGTAAGCCCAAATTGTGCACGTCACCGAATGTCCTATCGATTCCTGTTGTCGGGGAAAGCGGCAGATAGATAGTACTATTCTACGGCGAAGTACTTTTACTTGGTATTTGTATGAGCACCAATGACTGAGGTTCGCGTTAAGTACGCTGGGATCCTCCATCTGGTTTCCACGGCACGTCAAGTCCGCGAACCTATAGAGATGCACCCTTGCGCATGTTGATCCACGTTTGAGCACAGTGACAAAGAAAGCTGCTGCAGGTTCACGACGCCCCTACATAGAACGTAGGACCATATTGATCTGGGGCGCATGACATCGACGGACGAACTCGGCGTCATCAATCAACCCCTTCAACACGAGGCGCCAGTGCTGCCTGCGCTGCTACCTCCTCTTGCTGCACCAGTAGTGGTCACATCCGCAACGTCCCCTCAAAGCAGCAGTGGAGACGTGGCGCTGTCTTCACCAGCCCACGACGGCGGCGGCGGACACGGCGGGGCATGGGTGTTCTCCCCGCCGGCGAACCCACCTTCCCGCAAGCAATCCACCGCCCGCAAGTCGTCCGTGGCAAGCTTCTTCTTTGCGAGTACAACACCCACCGAGCAAAGCGCCAAAGACCAAAACGACCGGCGGCATCTCCAGCGACTGCAGCAGATCCCAGAGTCAGACATGTATGCGTCGTCCCGACGGCGACGGCGGCGGAAGACCCCGTTCATCTTGCTTGGGTCGGTGCTGCTGTTTGGCGTGGTCGCGGCGGTGCTGCTCACGTCCAAGGGCGACACCAGCAACGCCAGTGTGGGGGAAATGGAACATCGAACCACAACGGCCGCGCCGCCTCCTCTGGTTCCACGGGTATCTCCTTCTCCACCCCCCGAACCCACGACCAACATGGTGACCCCAGACGCCACCAGAACGGCCGACGAGATGCTGTTTGGCTCGGGTGCAGGTGACGGCACCCATGTCCGGTGGTCTAAGTACCGCTTTTACTTTGTCAACAAGTGTAGCCATCCGCTCAACATTTTTCAAAAGTACCGCGACGACGCACCGAAGTGGGCGTTTTGCCAAGTGCCAGTCGAGTCTTACGGGTGCCCGAACAACCGAGACGGCGCCTACTTGCACACGTTGGACGGAGGCCAAGACCAAGCTACATGTACGTCCAAAATGTGTGTATATATCGCTCGAGTAGTATCAAGTTTGAGAGTTTTTTCGAAAACAAAGTAGTACTACACTAGTAGTACTACTACTAGCTTCATGGTATTACTAGAACTCATACTGTGTGTGGATGTTGTGCTGTTAGTGTTTGAGATCACGGTGAACTCGACCACGGGCACGCATTACGACATTAGCATCATTCCGCCGGGGGTACGTTAAAATATTCGCATGTCGTGACGTACATACATATATTTGTATGTCGTCGTGGCCTGTATATTTATATATTGTGGTTAATTCGTTGATATTATTAGTGCACGTACAAATCGCAAAGTTTGGCCAATTGCAAAAACGAAACGGGCAAAGTGGGGTTCAATTTGCCCATGGCAGTCACGCCACTGCACTCGATTTGCACACCGTTGAAATGTCTTGCCGACGGATGTGAAGATGCGTACCAATACCCCGAAGACAATACGAAAGACCACGGATGCCGAGACCCCGACGCCATCTACCAAGTTACTTTTTGTCCTTCGTCAACATGAACGTAAAAAACCCAACTCCCAGTCAGCTCAGTATTTGCTAACAGTAAACGCTAGTGTGGAATGGATATAAATCGGATTCAAATTCCAAAACGTGCTACATATAGCCAATCTATAGGTGCATGCTAGTACTATAGTATTGGATAACGTTGTGTCGAGTAGAACAACGGACCAAGTCTCCACGTTAGTTGGTGGAACCCCTAAGAATGTCATGCGGCCAAGAGTGATACTCCGAGCTTGTTCGTTAGTCACTCGTACCTCAGCCTTATAAAAGTATTACAGTACAGTAGTATGTGTTAATAGTAAGTACTAGTATACTATTAATATATTAATATTAATAGTAACGTTACTTCGTACCGACGTAAAGTGGGGGAAGCGCTGCTAACAGTTACTCGTATTATTACTATTAATGTTAACGTTACTCGAGAATAGAAGGATTACTAGCGTATTAGCCGCACTAATGTAAATGGCACATACACTGTATATTTCACACAAATATACTGTATATTTCACACAAATACTGTATACTGTATGGGGCTCTTCCAAGTAACTTTCAAAAACGAACGGAGCCAATCAGAATCGTTTCCGTCGTACTTTGAAATCACTTTTTCAAAGTACGATGGCGAGTCATGTTTTGATCGTGTTTTGGGTATTTGTGCATCCCAAGTAGGTTAAAATGATTGGATTATGTTTTACTTGATCTGAGTATTGGATATTCTACTCACACCTTGGGGCTGCAAGTCCTTGCCGAGGTTGGTCGGAGCCGCCATTAGTGGACGTGTTCTCGTCAACTGCACCACCAGGAACTGTGAAATCAATCCCACTTCCGCAGGATACCTGCGGAATTGGAGAGTGTATGTAAGTTATTTATATACTTCTACTTCTACTGTACTATTCGTTCCTGTAGAAGCTATTGAAGTTAATTAAATATTTCTACTAACGTTAGTACTATGCGTTTTGTTACTGTAGAAGTTATTGAAGTTGATTAAATATTTTTACTTATACAATTCGTTACTGTAGAAGTTATTGAAGTTAATTAAATATTTATACATATATTATTCGTTAGGGCGTGTTCGGAGCGACTTTTGTGTCA